GCCAGGCGTTTCTTGGACAGAGCTTTCCCGATCACCCCGCCCCCGAAGCACACGAACAGCTGTTCGGTACGTCTAAGGGCAGCCGTGCCCTCCACATAACATGCTAGCGTACGCACCGGGCAGAGGAGGTGCAGTTTAGCTTCCCTGGTCCCACCATGGGGGGAAGACTAAAACCCCCTAACTGAATAGCCCTTGACCTGAATGCACTCCTTAGGCTCTTGGGCACAAAGGAGGGGTTCGGTCTGAGTGTCGCGCCGCTCTGGTCACCCCGAATCTGTAAACAGCTCGGGTGCACCGACAGAGCAGTTCACTCGGACACTCTTTTGGCTGACGTTTAAGGCAAGAAGCAAAGCTGTTTTCCACGACAATGCTTTCAGAGAGGAGAGCTCCAGAGGCTCAAACGGCCCCGAGGCCAGAGCCTCGAGCACTAGGGGCAGGTCCCACTGTGGGGTGGAGGCGTGCACTACTGGGCGCAGCCTCCTGACCCCCTGTAAAAACCGCAACATCAGTGGTTGAATAAAGGCTGATCTGCCGCCAAATCCCTCATGGCAGGACGAGATGGCTGCTGCATACACTTTCACTGTTGAATGCGCAAGCCCTCTGTCCACCAATAACTGTAAGAAGGATAAAATAGAGCCTAACTCACAAGATAGGGGCTCTATTCTCTGCTCCTCACACCATCGCTGGAATCCTAGCCACTTTGGCCTGTAACAGGCTGTGGTGGATCCAGTTCTAGCTGCCTGGATAGACTGAATAACACTATCAGACAATACACCCTGTCTCAGCCTGTCCCTCTCAGGAGCCAAACCTGGAGAGGATGGCCGAGAGTGGGTAACGCCCCGATTGCACCTGCCTCTTGAGACATCGCCCCCCAGAACTGGGGAACCGCCCAGGGCTGGCCCACCTTCATCTATGTCATCTCTGAGTACCACGGCGCCCCAACGCGATCCGGAGCCACTAGGATGACTGACAGACGTTCTCGCCTCACTCTCCTCAGGAGGGGGAGAATGAGACGCAGCGGTGGAAAGGCGTATAGCAGCTTCCTTGGCCATGGCTCGTGTGCAAACGCGTCCACCCCCAAGGGTGGGTCGTCGCTCCGAGCCACGGAGAACCACAGGGCACAGTGGCTGTTTCGCCGGCTGGCGAACAGATCCACTTCCGCTCTCCCGAACTGGGCCCAGATTTGCTTCACCACCCTCGGGTGAAGCACCCACTCGCCTGGCAGGGGGCCGCTCCTCGACATGAGGTCGGCCCCTCTGTTCTCCAGTCCCGGGATATGGAGGGCTCTCAGAGATAACACCACCTCTGAAGCCCATAACCACAGTTCCTCCGCTGTGGTCAACAAGGCGGCGGATCGAACTCCGCCCTGCTTGTTGATATAAGCCACTGTGGTGCTGTTGTCGCTCCTGACCATTACATGCCTCCCTTGACTTAGGGGCCTGAAATGCTGGAGGACTAACACTACCGCCCGTAGCTCTAGGAGGTTGCTGTGTCGAGACTCTGTTAGAGCCCAGCGCCCACCTATAGCGCTCTTCAGGCAGGTCCCTCCCCATCCTGTTCTGGATGCATCCGTGAACACTGTGATGTAGGAGGTCACCCGTCCCAGTGGAGACCCCCTCCGGAGGTGATCCGGAGATCCCCAAAACCGGAGGTTGCCCTCCACTGAGGGGGGGATGGTCACCAGCCGCCGCCTGTGCCTCTTGGGATCCAAGCGCAGGCTAGAGAACCACCTCTGCAGGCGGCGCATATGTAGTAACCCTAACGGGACCACCATGTGAGCAGCTGCCATGAGACCCAATGTCTGCATGACAGTAAAAGCTGTCACTGTTGCCCCCTGTCGCAGCCTGCGCACCCCCTGAAGAAGGGACGCACGTCTGCTCTCTGACAGGGTGGCGCGCGACGCGCCTGCATCGAGCACCACACCCAAATACAGCGCCCGTTGGTGAGGTATGGGGGTGCTCTTTTTCCAATTGATCGCAAAGCCCAATTTGGTCAGGTGTGTGATCAATTGTGCTGTGCAAAACATTGCCTGTTCCCGTGACCCAGCCATGACTATGAGGTCGTCTATGTAAAAGAAAACTCTCATGCCGTGTGCGCGCAGCGGTTGAAGCGCTGTGGCCACACATTTGCTGAATGTGCGTGGGGATAGGGAATAGCCGAACGGCAGCCTGTTATACTCGTAGGCTATTCCCTGGAAGGCAAAACGCAGATACTTTCTGTGCTCTGGAGCAATTTCTACATGAAAGTACGGGTCTTTCAGGTCGATGGTGGTGAACCAATCGCCTGGCTGCACAAGCCCCAGTAACTATTTCATAGCTAACCTGCGGAATTTCCTGCAGGAAATGTGGCGATTCAGGCCGCTAAGATCTAGAATAGGTCTAAATTCCCCTGTCTTCCTGAGAACCAGGAAGTACATGGAATAAAGATAATTTTCTCTGTGCTGAGGGTGCACAACAGACACAGCCTGTTTCTGCACCAGAGCCTGAATCTCTGCTGAGAGGAAACACATCTCCTCCTGGGAGAACAGATTTACCTCTTGCATGCCCATAAAAAAGGTGGGTGTGGGACACCCACAAGACAGTGGTCCATGTGATACATTGGTACAGTGTATACAGTGGGACGCTGCAAAACTGGAGTGAATGGCCCCGTTTCAGCGTCCTGTCCCTCCACCTTGTAAGCACACAGCTGAGTTTCTATTCCCCAGAACATTGTGTTAATGGACAAGCCCTCAGGTGTGGGGCAGCAGCTATGAAGCTGTGATACTCTCTGTGACCCGTTCCGCCGCAAAAACTCCCCGCGAAGGGAAGATTTGCCCCTGGAGGGTTGACACAGAAAGGGCCGATTATTTACTGAGGACCCTGAACGCACCGCCGCGCGCTCTTGTGTGAGCGCGCGCTCCACCCTAATGCTGTTCTCACCACTACGGTAAACAGCATTCATCGGAGTCTCTATAGGCGTAGTGTGTTTTACTAAGGTCCCTGAACGCACCGCCACGCGCTCTTGTGTGGGTGCGGGCTCCGCCATAATGCAGCCTTTACCACTACGGAAAACTGCATTGGAGTCTTTGCTCTAGGCGTAGTGTGTTCTCTGACAGCAATACGCCGGCCATAATGTCCCTGTACCCGCATAGTGCTCTCCCTTAGATAGCACTCCCTGCGGTTCATCCCTCTCATCTCCGCATGCCCACTAGCCACCTCCTTTACAGGAGCTGCAGCATGGGGCAGCGAATGGGGAATTTGTACGGTTAACATTGTAGAAAACGTAGTGATCTGTGCATTATACAGGGAGGAGGCGGGATTCGCCCCCTCGTCCCGGGCGAAGAGATCTTCTCCCCCCCGCCAGTCAGATCCGTAAAGACGGAAAACCCGTCCCCGTGAGTGCCGGCACGCCGGTTCCACGGGGTGGGCCGAAGAGGTGGAGGGCGCCGCGGGCACGGGATCTCCGTGTCGGCACCTCTCCCTTCGTCTCACCTCTCTACTGAGGTCTTTGAACGCACCGTGGCCCGCCCTCGGGGGAGGGGGGCCGCGCGCGCCGTCACAATGCCGTCTCTTTGAAACGGACATTATGGGGAAAAGTGGAATTGTGGAGAGAAATTACTCTTACTCTGGGATAAATGCAATAGTCTTTACTGAATGCATTTTTCCCACACACATACCTCACTCCAGAACTAGAGTTTACAAACGTAAACCACCGTTCTCCTGCGGGGGTCCCTGAACGCATCGCGGCCACTCTCACGAGGGCCGCGCGCCCACATATTAATGCTGTATTTCCCATTGCAACGGTGAAATGCATTAATCGGAGCTATTATACCAGGCAAGGTGTGTTTTCTGACAACAGCACGCCGGCAATAGCGTCTCTTGAACCCGCACAGTGCTTTGACAGCACTCGGTTTATTCCACTCACGTGCACACGCCCCCCTGCTGGCTCCCTATACTGGGGTTTACAGCGGGGGCGGGGAGTGTAGGACAGTGTTTCTTCCTCTGGGAATGGGCAAGAAGCAGCCACGCTGCGACTACTCCTCATCCCGTGAGCGAGGAGATCGACCAAAGAGCCCTCCGTAAACACGGGGACTCCCAGGAGATCAACACGATCCTCTTTGGAAAGTGCCACGCGGCGTGATATCCCAGGGACATCACACGGCGGGCAGCGGCGGCGGCCTGTGATGAAGTAGGGTCGACCCTATATCATGTGAAGCCACCGAGCACCGGTCCCCGGGGGAACCGGGCCTGGGGCAAGGCCCGTGGACCAAGCTACTTATTCGGCCTTGCGGCCCAATAATCGCTCTGACCTGGTGAGGCGGGGGCATCTCTAGCAATGAGTGAGTAGCCCACACACCCGCCGCCATGATCATCATCCAGGGAGAGTACAGCCCTGGGCGGTGGACTTCCATGGACGCCAGACCCGGAAGGAATGGCGAACGTGAATGGCACCGCCTCGGCCATATCCTGGTCACACAAACACTTGAATCTAGCAGTGGCGACTCCCTGGAGGTATGATAACTCTTTTTAAACGTCTCTCAGTCTTTCGTGGAATCACCTCCGCTGCTGAAGAAAAAAGGATGATAGTCAGGAGGTGAGGCCTCCTTTTATACGGTGTGATGCGCGCGCATTCAGGTAGGCCCGCCCAAGGCCGGCTACGTCTATAGAAGTCTCAGTGGGAGAATGCTCGCAGGGTAAGGTAGTACCCATAGAGTCCAGTAGAGGGCGGAGCCTGTGAGAGATATAACACCATTATAACTTTTCAGAGATGCAGGATCCCATGGGACTCTTCAGGCAGTTTCAAAGCTGATTTCACAGAGTTGCAGATGCTATTACTAAACATCACATTTTGTTCAAATTTTTTAAAACATCAGCCGTTCAGGTCAATTCAGGTCAAAATAGTTCACTGTCTACTGATATTTGCTAACGGTCAAACAAGCCCTATGTAGATATTATTTCCTTTGCATCACAGATGTAAAAAAACCAACATCTGATGAGTCAGCAATGTGTGTGAAAACGTACCGGTGCAGGAGTATTCGTCCACTCTGATGAAGCCGGGCAGACAGTCACAGCGATGGCTGCCGGGCAGGTTGACACAGACCGTGTTGGACTGGCAGTAGTGCATCTGGGTCGCACACTCATCAATATCTGCGGACAAACAGAGAACATACAGTGGATTATTAACACTCTCAGGACGATCAACACAGTGAAGCCTTTGGATGGAGTGCACTGAACTGCTTCAACACTGATGCATGAATCTAATGACAGTTATTTATTAGAGTCTTGCTTATCCAAACATGTCAACAATTATACTACTTTTTCAATGGAGAGTTTGTAAAGGTGTATATCATCATCATCATCATCATCATCATCATCATCATCATCATCAGCAGCAGCAATATACAGTCGTTTTTCATCTGTTTCTATATCCCTCCTTTTTATAACGATCTCAACCCCACAACCTGGACATTGGCCAATCAGAAGCCACATTTTCTCTAAACAATTTTTTTTCTCCAACACAGCCAACAACTAGTCATAAACTCCATTTTGATGTTTATATTTTGTGGGTTTGAAAAACACCTAGCTGCCATATTAGGGTTTTGTCATAGCTCCATGACCCTTCTTACTCATTAGGGATAGCAGGGAACAGAATAATAAAACAAGAAGGGATGGTAACAAGGAGATATGATAAATAAAATGGCCATATGAGAGGACATTAAAACAAAGTAAAGGAATAAAAGGAGAGGGTTGGAAAATAAAAGATAAGTAAATGGGAAAGATAATGCGATAAGGACTAATAAATTGAAGAGGACAAAGGACAGCAGGGAGAGCAGCATCGTTGCTGACATCCGTAATGTTCGGCTAATATGATACATTAAAGCCTCTCTTCATTCGCAGACTCTCTCCCTCTCGTCCTAATGTAGCTTGAAAGACACAACTGTACGAGCACTGAAACACAGAGCTCAGGGAGGCATTAGCCCAGCTGGATGACTGCTGATGAAATTGGATCAGAAACACACAAGGGAGGTGTTATGTAGAAGGGCCTGAATGTGTGTGTGTGTGTGTGTGTGTGTGTGTGTGTATGAATGTGTGTGTACTGTACAGAGTTTTTATGTGGACGTGAGCAGCAGAGAGCCGGTTTCCTGAGGCTAACAGGCCTTTCCACCACTTAAGGGACTCCGTATGCAACACTTAAGGGAAGGAGAGAGTGAGGAGTATTTCCATATCCTCTCCTTGGATAAATACATTTCAGCTTTGAGGTTTTCAGCTCACAATTCACCTTACAACAGAATGAATTTGTATGAAGTGTATCATTGACTTACATGCAACACCCTGAGGGTTTTTTTCCTCTGCAAATGTCATCCTTGGAGAGAGTACAGTAGGAGTATTGAATTGCACAATCAGAAAGAGACCGATCATGTATTCAGGCCTACTAAAAACCTCGCCGGCCTTCAGCGTACAAAGGCATTGATCTGCTACATCAAAAACATGGAACTTAGCAGAGTGCTTTGAGGCTGCAAAACACTACCTGAATCCAATTTCCATCATGTCCTGAAGTGCTAGGCTACTCATTTGATGATCCTTTATTGGCGAAAGGCAGCAAGGTACATGGCGGCTAGCCTGCGATGTTTCAGCCTCAATTTAAAGTGGAGAGCTTGCGGCTTTGTCAGCTTTCATTAAAAGTGGGAAATGCATCTACTGTCATGGCTGATGCATGATGAGGCATTCTGATCTATTTTCTGACAACTGTGTGTGTGTGTGTGTGTGTGTGTGTGTGTGTGTGTGTGTGTGTGTGTGTGTGTGTGTGTGTGTGTGTGTGTGTGTGTGTGTGTGTGTGTGTGTGTGTGTGTGTGTGTGTGTCCTCTGCAGCCTCCTCTGGGAGTGTAGTAGCAGGTGAGGTCTGCTGACAGAACTGGATCTGTCATTTCACACGGGGGGGAATTCATTTTCCTGGATTTGCCGGTGTGTCTATCTCTGTCCCCCCCTATCCTCCCTCTACCCTCAGTCCCAGGCCTACTCCCCCTCCTCCCACACCTCCTCCGTCTGAGCTCAGTTTCTTCATCTGTCTGCTGCTTTATTCATGCTGTGATGTAGGTCAGGGCTGGGGAGAGGGACGGCTAAAAATAAGACAGGATAGGACTGTGTGTATGGGCATGTAGCATGTACGAGTGGGGCACGTGTGTGTGTGTGTGTGTGTGTGTGTGTGTGTGTGTGGCCACTGCAGTTGATGATTCTCTTATTTGAACACATGAAATGCAGAAATAACTTTTTATGTAAAAAATACATATATTTTAATTTGTAAAATAGTTTGAAAATATGTGCCATTTTTCCTGTGTGTGTCTATCCTATGTTTAAAGTACAAAAGTATTAGCATCAAAATATACTTAAAGTACCAAAAGCAAAAGTGCTTATCATGCAAATTGGTTCATTTCAGAATAATATATATGATATGTTTTATAATGATTGATCATGAAAGTGTTCTCAAAGCTGGTAAAGGTGCAGCTAGTTTGAATGACTTTGTATACTGCAGGGTAGCTTGTGGATTTACTCCAGGTGGAACTAAAGTCTGATTTAAGGGTTGATTATATTTCACATAATTAATCCAAATCTGTAAAGTAACTAAAGGTACACAATACATGTAGTGGAGTAAAAGTACACTATTTACCTCTGAATTGTAGTGGAGTAGAAATACAAAGCAACATATAAGTAGCAAAACAGTAAAGTACAAGTATCTCAAAATTGTACTTAAGTGCAGTACTTGAGTAAATGTACTTAGATACTTCCCACCTCTAGTTTTGGCAGAGTTTGACATACAGATGAGTATGAGTAGAATATTTTGAAATGCATTTATCTTGTGAGCTGTGTTCTTTAGCATAGGAAGAGAAGCATTATAAATGTGTTTAAAGATTTAGCAAACGTTTGAGTGCATGCTCAAAATGTACAATATCATATTTACTGAGTACAGAGGATTGTTATATAATCATTGGAGTAGTCATATCGCTGTTGGATGGAAACAGATTCGGAGATGCAAGACTTCAAAAGTATTCACCAGATATTCGTCTCTTTTCCAAAACATTAAACGTTGGCGCAAGGAGATTATGTGTTTGTGTGTGGGTTTGTGTTTGTGTTCCTGAAACCCAGTTTTCAGCGTGTCCTTAACTCAGCAGGGTGTTGTAAAAGCTCATGAACACGGTTCTGTGGAATTTAGTTGAAAGATGTAATGGTTTGGCAACGGAACAATTGATTTAATTTGGGGAGGACTCAAATCATAATCATCATCAAACACAAACCACCGCTAAGCGAGGAAAGAGTTAAGAAATATTTTAACTAATTCCAAATATTAAAGTTGATTATGGAAAGTATAAATAGTTAGAAAGTTGGTATAACTTCTAAAGGAGGTGTTTCTAAAAAAGTGAGAAGTGTTCCGAGTTGTGTTCTTTCAGTGTAATGTCATTAATGCCTTAGTATTTTCCTGTGTTTGTCATAGAACCTGCAGTATTTGCCCCAACACAGCCTATTTGGTATTTTGTATTAGAGCTGACTCTGGATTTTACAAAAACAGTAGTTCATGTCATTTTACATTTGTTTATTTTCTGCAGACAAGGCAAGGTGAATGTGAAAGAAAAAAAACACCCTCCTTCCTAAGCCTCCAATGTTGGTCATGGTCACAGACACCGTGCCTTGCCTTGCATTGTATGTACTGTCTTGAACAGAAAATATAAACAGAAATCATTTTAATTAAAAAAAAATACATATTGTCCCAAATGTATCATTTCAAACATAGTACTTTTATGTCCCAAAATACATCAGTTATTTGTAGGAAAACATACATACAGAATACAGAACTGTGAAACTCCCCCTCCATATGGACACCTGTTGAAAATCCTTAAAAGTGTACATGGGAGGTGGAACAACGTCATTCACCAAGGTCAACCAATGGGAAACAAGGGTGCTTTAGGTTAAACAATGCTAATACAATGGTTGCTCAATAGCATTATCCTGGGCAGTGGTGGAAAGTAAGTGAGTACATTTACTCAAGTATTGTTTTTAAGCACCTTGACATATTGTACTTTACTTTAGTATTTCCATATACTTTATATATACTACTCCACTACATTCAGAGGCAAATATCGTACGTTTTACATTTATTTTGACACTCACGGTTAGGGCTGTGCAATTAATCGTATTTTAATCGCAATTACGATTTTGGCTTGCAACGATTACGAAAACAACGTAATCGAAATAAAATGATTATTATTTTTATTTAAAGAAAAAAAATGTAATTATTATTTTTTTTTTTTATTGTTTTTTCAGTTGAATTATACTTAAAGTTCAGGGTAATCAACTCTTAAAAACATACGGTTCACTTTTTTTTCAATAAATGGATGTTTTCAAAGTAAATGGATAATCGTTTTTAATAATCGTGATGTCAATTATTGACCAAAATAATCGTGATAATGATTTTTGCCATAATCGCACAGCCGGTTACTTTACAGATATAAAAACACATGATTTGCGGATATGGTATAATGCAGTACTGTACGACTAATCCACACAGTATTTCAAGTATCTACATATGGTCCACTTTGACCATCGACAATACTTAAATGCTCTTTCATTTACAAAACCTGGTAAAATAATAACTATACACAATACTGTGAAAAGATAAATTCTGCATAATGAGTACTTGAAATTACATTTAGCTGATAATTCTTCTATATATATTTTTTGTTGAAATGGGCCATTGTGTCTAATGAGTACTTTTTACTTTTTGTACTTTTAGCACATTTTGATGCTAATACTTCTGTACTTCCAAAGTACTCTGTACTCTCCAGCAAAATGCCTCTAAACCATTCAGAACTAGTGTTAGGAAACAGGACCAGACTCTTCAAGCCGCCCTGGACCAGTTCTTCCTACAACAGATGACACACTGTCATAATCTGAGTCACATTAACTCATCTTTAATGAAAACAATTTGAAAGTACTTATACGCTTTGGTACTGGAACAAATCTGCTAAAACACTTGATGGTCCTCTCTAACTGAACGATGTAGCCCGAACACAAATCAGCACCATCAAATATTTTATGTGCACAATTTAACAGAAAATCGACTCCTGCTAAAGCATTTATAAAATAAAATAAAATGA